TAGTAGTAGTAGTAGTGGTAGTGCTATTAGTGGTAGTAGTAGTAGTAGTAGTAGTAGTAGTCGTCGTAGTAGTAGTAGTAGTAGTAGTATTTGTTGTTATCGTATGCAAGAATGTTGGTAATCATTCATAATCATAGTAGGAGTAGCAACAATAGCAGCCGCTGTCACAGGACGCCAGCGCCCAGACGTGGAGCAGTCGCCTGGTTGCGGCTTGCCGTTGGTTCGGGAGAAAGTAGGCTTCCAGGTTCAAGACATGATGAAGCCTAATCCCGCTGCATCCGAGAAAACCCCGGCCCAAAAGCCCAGACCCTGAACCCCGCGCAAAGGAAAGCCACAAATCGTAGAACCGAAAGCTTTGGGCACGATGCGAAATGCCGGGACTCATGATATCCTTGGAGGCTAGACACGCCCAGACCCTAGGGGTTGAGGACTTTGGGACAATGGTTCCCGATAATGGATGGGGGCCACCTTGCGGACAAGAAGCTTGAGTTCGATCTGGGCTGCCAGGAGATCTTGAGATCTCAGATGCGGTTTGCAGCGATCATCAACTCGGCCAACACGACTGCGAAAGAGCTATCTGTCAATCCTTGAACGGTCGCTTCAAGATTTGGGATCACCTTCGTCACCTTCAAGCGCCACCTTCAATCCCAATGCTTGCCTCCATATTTCCACAGAAACTCTGAGCCTTACATCCAGCAGCGACCCGCTACACACTCAGGCTTGTGCAAACACTCAACAACTAGCAATGACTAAAAGCCAACTCCCAACCCGAAACCCCAGTATCCAACACCTCAGCCTCAAGCCCTGAACTACGAGATTTGACCTCACAAGCAGCTGCGTCGCCTCTCAAGCCCGCCTTGGTGCAAGCTGTGAGGCTTCCCGGCTTTTCTCATGTACACGACACCGGCCCCTGACAGTGGATATGCCAAGTAGGGGCCCATGTGTCTTGCTTTCCATAGCCCCTAGCCGTATGGAAAGTTGAAAGCGGGACGATCGTGGCGCACTGCATAAAAGGTTGGCATTGCAGCTATGCATGCACCTAAAACTCAGTCCCGAACCCAAACCCAAACAAAATCAACATGCAGCTCCCCAGTACTACTTCGATCCTCTTTGCGACCATAAAATTGTCAGGCCCTGACCACGAGCTTCGGGAAACGTGACCTGAAGGGCGGCACCCGCCACCAAGCCCGCACCCAACTGGAGCAGGACAGTCCAGCCCACAGCATAACCAGGACAGGATGCCAGGATGGTGGCGGTGGAATGATGCCCTCTGCGATGATCGGCGGCGGGCTCAGGGGCAGAAATGCCGGAGTAGGGCCAGGGCCCTTAACAAGGCAGCGGAGAATGAGATACAGTGCGGTTGCTTCGGCTTCGGTTTCGCTTCGTCACTCCAGCCAGCGCAGCGACATGCAGACCAAAACAAGTGAGCCTGGACTTGACATCAGCCAGTCACTAAGCCAACCTCAATCAGCGGATGCTTTCGAAAACAAACTCTGAACTTCAATGGTCATGCCGGGTCGCCTCCACGTAAACAAAGACGACCGGCCCAAAATAAAAAACACCTGTCGTCAATCTCAGATTCGTGATTGAGATTCTGGCTAGCAACATTCCTGGTGGCATGCTCGAGCTGCTAGAGTCAATCCTAACTTGCGATGCGCTGAGCCCAAATCCGAAGGCTTCTAGGATTGAAACCAGAAGTCGTAACAAGCCTTCGACGGGTCGCTGGTACACAAAGTCCTGCGGCATGGAAAGGTTACGACATCCTGACACCCATGTGCCCTAAACACCTCACCCGAAAGCCCAGGAGGTGGCACCAGCTGAGGCGAGTCGTGCTTGACCACCCAGTCCGCATTAGGAACCTGAAAAGCCCTGAACCGCCGGACCGACAGCTGCCTTTCATCATCACGTGCACACACACACACACAAAATCATCATACTCTGACGCACTTGTTCCTCTAGCACGAGTGCAACTACTGCATCTCCATCCCACTGTGGTTCCTATGCTGACTTCGTGATGAGATCGATGACCATTTCGACCTTCATAAACTATTATGGTTGGCGTGCCCGTGTATCTGGCTGCTAATGCCGCTTCCAAAGTCTCCAAGTGCAAACTTGTGGCCATGTCGATATTTGTTGCTAAAGTAGCCTTGGCTTCTAGCGCATGACAGATGTTGCGGCAGGGTAGTCCGGATGGAACGTCTTCCTGCAGATATCACTTCTCCAGGCACCACTGCTATTATTCCTGTTATGTCGGAAAGCATCCGATGTATGGCTATTATGCCAAGTTCGGCAACTACTATGTTTCCTGATTGTTTACTTGCTCGGTATTGTTACTGTCGCTAGCGCGCTTGATTCTTGCTTCTTTTCCAGAGCCAGCTCCTGTGATTTTTATGCCCTCGTTCTGTGTGCTTGAATTATGTATCGGCTGCCATGCCTCTCTTGCTGCTGTCTGTCGCGCCACAATCAAAGCCATAGGGTCTTCCTCATGCTCATGCAGAGTACCCGGCTTTGTGGCTCCTTTTCTCCTCCAGTGTTCTTTTTCGTGGGCTTCGTCACGATGGCAGTGGACAGTTACCGTGGAAGCGAGAACGGGGGCTTCGCGATAACAAGGGCTAGTTGCTACGTTATCTTCACGGCTGGTACACCGATCGATAGTTAGAGCAACAATTAGAACCCCTTTTATTTGTGTGCGATGTCTGTTGCGGAAGGTTCAATGAAGCTTTAGACAATATCACCAACGACAACCACCGCGATCCCAACGACCACATCGAAACTCTATGACCGGGATGTCCACGACAACCAGACAACCCGGATCCCCTAGCAAACCAGCAGGATTCCGACACCACGAAAAAACACACCCTCAAGCAATGCTTCTCCGTCTTGTCTGGTGGATTCTATGTGTCTTCAGGGTACCATCCCAACTCGTTTCTCTTGACGTACTGGGGGGATCCAGCATCCCAACAACCACGAGCGAGATACCTCCCTCGAACTGGCGGGATTCAGACGATTCCATGCTAACACGAAGCCTACATTTGGAACGGGAATGTGCAAATCATGGAACGTGAGGGTGCAAACTATGCACCTGACATCCGCGGGAGCGCGGAATATTTTGCCAATGGCTCCAGACCCCAAGTCCCTTAGCTGCATAAAACCCCCTAGTTGGCACCACACTACAATGTGGAGTTCAGGGTTTGCAGATTTTGCAGTTACCGGGCTTAGAACCGCAAAGCTTTGGGGCTTTAGAGCTTGAAGTGCGAAAGCCCTACTGCAGGACTACTGCACGGCCGTCCTGCAGGAAGGTCATGACCTTGCACAGGTACGGCTACGGCTACCAGCACTCCACAAAACATTCTACACTTCCAAATCGATGTCGAGTTTCGGGAATTCGGCCGGAGGGTTTTGGGCGCAGGGGTGTTGAATATTGGCTGCAAGTAGGATTTAGGGTGCTGCTTAGCATCTTGAGCTTCAGTGGTGTGTGGGGCTTGGGCTTCTCATTTGACGTTGGCAGTTTGGGTTTTTGGGTTCGGGACGGCTTTCGGATTTAGGCTGCAGGGTTCAAGGGATTGAAAAAATGGTTGAAGCTTGAGGTTAAAGACTGGGTGTAAAGGTATTAGCAGGGCCTTATGGCTCCAAGGTTTTGGCGTAAAGGGTTGAAGGCTTTGGGTTTAGAAGTGGCAGCGTTCGGCTTAATGGGCTTAAGTTTGATGGTCCTGCCGAATTAGGGTCGAGGGTGTCGAGGTATCCGCCCGCGGCACTTGGCCTTCAATGGTTTTCTGGCTTACGGGGCTCAGGTGAAGGTGTGGTCTACAGGGTTCCACATCTGGGCTTGCGAGAGGACTAAACGTCTTGGGCTTTGGGCTTTGTGTACAGGGTTCTAGGTTTAGAGGTTGGGATCGGCGTTTGCAAGAACTTGTTGTTGGCTGGTCTCCTTGGTCCACCTCTTCAACTCCGACTAGGAAACCCCGGTCTACCTGACCTGGACCACCAGTGCAGACTCCTGTCAGGCACACTTGGGCCGGTAAGAGGAATAGAGCCTAGGACGATATAGGACGACCCCACGTTACCACCAAGTCTTCGCTGAAGAAGAATAGAACCACATCGAGCCAGGCAGCCCGCTTTAAACCCCGAGTTAAAATCGCATCCCTGGAATCCAAAACCTTCACGTGCAAAGTCACAAACTTTGAGGCCCCAGACACTTCTTCCAGTCCGTCTCCGAAGCGACGTTTGCAAATATACAGCTCCTGCAGTGAAATGTGCCGTGTGACTGCAACATGCATCCCGTACGTCTCCGGGTCCCCACCCTGTTCCTTCCGTCAACGGTTTGGCGACAATCACTTCTCCCAACCTCAATTCAAAACTTTTCCGAAGTGTAAT